ACAAAGTGTTTCAAACGGTCACGAAATGCACACCGAAGGCCTCGACCGGGCATTAGAATAGGCACACAACAGAACAGCGACGGTCCCTCGTCTTACCCCAGAAAATTCGCACACGGAACCACAACTGCATGCATGCATTAATAAATGGATTGGCAATATATGGGATGTCATCCAAGGCAAAAGCGGACGGACATTGGTGACCAGCCGCCGAAAATAGAGACAGGACGGCTTAAAGCCCGGCCGGGATAGCACTGCACCCCCGATATTGGACCGTCGCGTCTGTGAAGAGGTGGTCGGAAGCCCGCAGCTCCGGTCGGAAGGGGGGGGGGGGGCAAACCACTGTCCAGACGGCCGCGGATCGCGCAATTTCAACCAACAGCGACGGACAGCAGGCCGGGACTACGGCAAATCCAACGGAGCCGGACTTCGCGTTTAGTCGGCGCCGAGCGGACAGCCCGACAGCCTCGCGGCGATACTAGATGGACTGGAAGATTGGACGGCTGGACGGCGTACCGACCGCGTCAGCCGTTGGGGGATCAAGGACCATCTAGTCAAAACTGGGCTGAATTCGCGTGAGAAATCAGCCGACGATTCGAAATGACATGCAAATCACGATGTCAATAAAGATAACGGAGGATTGCATCGGGTTACTTCAGCCGGGGATCCGCTGACAGGACACTGCACAGGATTTCTGTCGATTGCCCGAGGGAGATACATCCTCTGCACGACCAGAGGGCCATCCTCTGGCCAAAGTTTGCGAAGTGTGATCTGGCATAACCCACGTGCCGCCTTTCAACTCGCTGCCGAGTTCATCAAGACCGAGTACGTATGGCTCAGGGCAAACACCACTACCCCTTGATTACCGAGACAGCTTCACTCGCTGCCCCAAACTCAGCAACCGTGACCGTAAACTACGAACATAATCCGATAAAAGCTGTTTGTGGACGACTGAAAGAATAGAAACGACTGGCTGAGTTCCACCTTCGAACCGCGCACACAGAGCGTGTGAAGTTACCTCTGGGCAAATGTTTTCCGCGGCATTCGCTTGACAACGCCGGCCGGGGCACCACGTCTCAAAGGAGGTAAAGAGAACTCGGGCGGCATTGGACGGGCGTTGGTCAGTCCAAAGCTAATCCACGGCGCCCCACGCCATTCACAGCTGTCACGTTGTCAGGGACTTCCCAGGCGAATCCGTCCTTCGTTAAACCCCGCCGCCAGTCCGCCTCATTGTCCTGCTGACAGCGGTGATGGAGCGTCGTCGCGTCTTGGCGACCGCCGACGGGCCTTTCAGCTCGACGCGCGGGCCAGCGCCGCCTCGCGCCAAACTGGACAACGACGGAGAGCGAGCGGCGACCGCAGGCGAACACACACCACGTGATCCGGGCCGCTGTTCGCCTGAAACGCTCGGCACTGATTTCTCCGCTAAGCCGATTCATCGATTCCGAGGCCCATACAATAACCGTTCGGTCGCCTTTTGACGTCGCCCACCATTTTGCCCCACAGCGGCACGACCTCCCCCACAGTACGCCAGAAGGTGTCGACGGGATAATCAGCGAGCCCGCCCTGTTCCCACGATAACGGCCGTGGCGCGCAGCTCGCCGCGCCGAGACAGCGGGGGGCCGCCGAGTGCGCACGAGCCCGACCGGCCGCCGGCGGGCACGGCGGCCGCAGCTGGGCCCGCTCCCATCGCCCGCCCGTCGCGAGCGCGAGGCCGCCGCCGTTTAAGCCCGTCAGCGTCGCAGGTGCAGCGCGGTCCCAGCGCTGCAGGACGCGTGGCGACGCTGCCACTGCAGTCTCACTTGGCGGCCAGAGCCCTGGCGGTGCACAGCTCGGCCGGCCGGTCCGCGGACCCGACAGCCGTCCGTCGCCGGGCTAAACGGGTCGCCAGCCGTCGGTCACCGGACTGAGTGGGTTGCCAGCCGTCGGTCGCCGAGATGAGCGGGTCGCCAGCCGTCGATCGCCGAGATGAGCGGGTCGCCAGCCGACGGTCGCCGAGATGAGCGGGTCGCCAGTCGTCGATCGCCGGACTGAACGGCTCGCCAGGGCGACGAACAGCCCGGTCTTCTGTGCGGCGGTGCCACGTTTTGCACAGTCAGCGACATCGCTGGCCGCTGGCCGCCCAGAGTGGTCCGATCAGCGCAGCTGTGTGTCGCCACGACTCACTCGGGAGGATTCATCTGGGGCTCCCGGACACAAGGCCATTATACCGGCCTGAGGACATAGGGCTGGGTGCTGACCCAGACCGTTCGGCCAGTCCGGCCAGCCTGGAGCGTCTGCCTTCCGACGCATCCACCCGTGGCGGAATGGCTTCGAGTCGTCTCAAGCGTTCGCTATTTGTCCCTGACCGCGACGGTCCGCGGGCGGTGGCAGCGACCACGCCAGACATCAGCTGACGTCAGAGGGCGCGACGGGCCGTGCCGAGCACTGCGGCACGGTGAGCTATCGCCTCAAAATTCAGCCGTCGACCCAGACTTCCCGATCGGGCGCTGGGGTCCGTGGTCCAGCTTTCAATGAAAAAAACAGCCACATTATGTACACTTGAGCATTTACAGTGATGGACCACCCAAGCCTAAAGTCCAATCCTATCGCTGCGCACCAGCCGCCAAGAGCCTGTGCCGCCCACACAGGCTGTGGCCGCTGGTGTCAACATCGCAACAGTGAACCCCGGCCACAGGCGCACCCCGCCCGCCTGCGCCCCGGCTGTCCTCGTCAGCACGGCCGCCCCTGCCCCCGCTGCACGACCGTCCGTCAGCTCATCCACATACGACAATGTTAATGGGCACACGGGGAGCTTATCACCATACTACATGCGTTAGCAGGTCATGAATATGTTTGCCCGACAGTGACGATGCCGGCGTCCCGCGCCGACGCCAACAAATCCACATAGTTACCAGCTGCCGGCGAAAGCGTCGCCGCACACAGCTTATACGTTCTCAGGCAAGGGGCTATCAAAAAACCTAATAGGTTGTCTGTTTACAGCAATATTGGAAACAAAGGAAGAAAACGCCTGGGCATCCATCAGCAGACGGGTTAGCTGAACCCGAACGAAAAATGGAAAACAACAATGGCAAATAATGCGCGCGCTGTCATCGCGCCACCGCCGAGACAACTACATAATTCCAGGGGTTCACACGACAGGCGAATCCCAGCGCAGACGACGCTGATTCTGCGCGGCTTGTGGAGCCGCCTGGCGCCGCTGTGCCCAGTCCAGCGCTGGCGCAGTGGTCTCACCACCTGTATAGCATGAATGGAAAGAAATCGTCCGCCCTGGACCTTTCACTGCATTGGTTTCCCGCCAACTTGCGACTGCGACTTATGAGCTCCGATAATATGACGCCCACTGAACCGTTATGGGGCTGCTCTAGCATACCATGCATAAAATAATGGCACCATGTTTGTATTCCGGCCGTATATGTCATTATTCAGGATACCGTGCGTCCGGTATACAAGTGTAGTGAAATGCAATATTGGAGATATGATATATATATATATATATATATATATATATATATATATATATATATATAACCTTATATATTTGCTAGTTGTCTGCGCCGACAAGAGGAAGGAGACAAAGACATTATATAACGCAGTTACGGGTGGCGACCGATTCCATTTTGTCATATTCCATAGGCAGAAGACATTCATTTGGAGAGGGACATACGCTCTACCACCTCTGCCTCCACAGACGCGCGCCAGCCAAGCACCTGTGAGTCCAGCGCCTCGCGCGCCCCGACGCCGGCGGCGAGCATCTCCCCGCCACTCCCCCACCGGACAGTGTCTGACATCACTGGCGCCGGCCGCGCCGTTAAGGGCCCGATGACGGCCGGTGTCGCCGCCGATGTCGGCCACCGGCTCTCGCAGCCGGCAGTAACGAGGCCGCGGCACGCCACCCGCCTCCGCCGGCACCGGCCGGCGGCGGACCGGCGGCACGCGCCGTTTCCCCATGCCGCACACAGGCGCCGATCGGCGCCGCTCGCCGCACCTCGCGCCCGCGCCAACACCCCTCCCGGCCTCCGTACCATGCGTGGGCGCGAGCGGAGGTCAGGTTCGACTCTTGCGTGTGACGTCTTCCATCCGGTATCTCATTTATCCTTCAAGCTATTCCCGGCTCTCCTGCCTTGCGGAGCGCGCGTCGTCAGTGACCGACTCACCAGCAAAACGGCAGCTGAGCATGAGGGTGATGTCACGAGCCGCCTTGCAGACGAGACCACTGACGTCATTACCCTCGACGGGGTTGAATAATGCCTCTCTGTCCGGCCTCCAAGTGCCCCTCAGCGCAAATCGCCCACAAATCCTGCGTCGTCGCGCAATTTCCGTTCTAAGTTCGTCTTCGTGCACTGCCAGGCGGCCAGGGCGCCTTCGGGCCACAGGCAGCCCGCGAGACGAGACGGGACGCGGCGTAGGCACGCCAGCTGCGGCACCGTACGACGGGGCGCGGTGGGCGGCCAGCGGCGGCACCGTGCGACGGGACGCGGCGTAGGCACGCCAGCTGCGGCACCGTACGACGGGGCGCGGCGGCATTCTGAGCGCCGGTAGCTCAGCACAGGCCGAGCGTGGGCGAGCCGCATTTGTTCCGCTGGTGTACAGCGATGTGTTGGCCTAGCCGCACACGTCATTACTCGACGTCGCGTTTTTCTCTCGAAGGCGGCTTTCGGGTGGGATATCCGACCTTCGGAATCAATACTCCACACCGCTGCAGCTCTTTGCTTCTGTCAAAAATAAGCATTCAAATTTCTGAAGAATCTGGCCCGGATTTAACCACCTGAGAGTGGTCGACGGCGAGCCATAATTGAACCTCGTAACTAAGAAGCCAAATTCAACCACGCACATTAGCCGTTTGTTCGCCGACGAAAAAAAATTATAAAAAATAAAGAAGTCACTGGCTTTAATAAACATAAGCACACACTGCGATGAAAAGAGGCACTCTAAGTAGGCAATATCTACATAGCAAAGCAAAAAGGGGCACATAACACGCATTCAGCTGCGTTTGTGCTTACCGTTGGTCTTCTTTTGATCTTCAGCTGCACGGATACAGAAAACGCGCATCAGGCTATGCTCAGCAACCAAAACACTCAACTTATCACGGCTGATATTCAGACTTAGTGTGTTCTAGAATAATTTTGGGAATTGGGTGCAAGAGCTCAATCACAGCCCAATCGTCACTTACGAATGTTTGACTTCTCGCATATCAAGTATCAGAGCACGATGCATGCGGCAGGTCAAAGAAGAAAAACAGCACGCTCCTTAACGACATGTCACACCTCAAACGCCTCAAAGACGCTTCCCGTATTAAGTGAAGCATTCAAACGCAGCATCCTCCCAAAAGCATTCGGTTGAAATTGGTGGGGTGGCAATGCCAGCCCGAGGCACCCTTTCAGCGCATGCTGCTAAGCCTCTCAACACACGCAAAACAGCGATGCCGCTGGCGGCCGACACTAGCGCTGCGTGTGGCGGGTGCACGAGCTAATGGTTCGGAGAGCGGCACAGATGGCGGCAGCGCAAAGCGCTGCCGTCCATACATCAGAGTGAGGTGAGACCAAACAGACGTGAAATGAACAAAAACACATTTTTCACGTCGCTGGCAATAACACTGATTCGGCCGGAGGGGCTCACGGGTTTGTTGTGGCGTTTAGAATCGTATTGGAACTGCCCCAGATATAGCTGGAGCTTCTTTAGTTTTCTACAACCAGTCTGTGTTGTAACTGCTGAATCATGGTTGTAATCAGTATACCCCCCCCCCCCCCCCGACGTGATCTGAGAGAAATCTCACACACTATCAAACCACCCAATGTAGTGTTCCCACATCCTAAGATGATACGAATGTCAAATTGCTGGCAAACGGAGATACCGATTGAAAATAACCTGAATTGTTTTACACGGTACTGCTAGATTTACCCGGTGTAGAGTCCAACAAAATTATCTAGCCTGCTTTAGCAGCATGATTGGTAAACAAATATTACTTGTAAGACCTTACATTGAAAATTACCAGCCTTCGGTATATCATGAGTAGCTGCTACACAAAGATATCATTAAATTACCGAAATAAATTATGATAAGCTCATAAATTGGAACACTCTTTAGAGGGGGCGGCGGTGGTATAGTGATAAGGGCGCTCGATTCTGGACCTGTCAGTACTAGGTTCGGGCCCCTGCCACGCCCACCCACATGGTACCTAATAGAGGCATCCGGCTCGAGATGGCTCTGGCGGTCAGTGGCGTGCAAAGCCCCAATCAATTATACCATTAAGTAGAGTAATCTTTGAGAATTGCCTGCAGAATATCCCAATGACCAAGTCCTATTCTAATTTGGACAGTTCCTTTGGTTAAAACGAGTCCTTTATTTTAGCATAACAATTCGCTGCAAGGGACAACCAGAAGCTGAAGGACTTCATCGCTTACGTCCAAATAATCATATTCGAACAGTACATGCTACGATTGTACAAAATTTCTTGATTTTAGTATAAAAACGGTACAAATACAGATCTATTGCGAGTTTGTAAAGGTATCCGTCCATCAAAACAAGGAGTAATGTTATAATTCAGTAGCCTCAACAAACAAGGAGTTGACAACCTCCTGTCTGATTTTCCTGAACATGAAGCCTTCTCGGTTCTCCTGAACATGGAGTCTTCTTGCTTTTCATGGACATCAACTAGTGCAGCATACTGGATCTCACTGAGCTTGGACGCCCGAAAACGTGTCATCAAGTGGTTTTCAAAAATGATGTGCCTGAGGGCACATGGCACTGCTTGTGGACAAATTCTAAGACGCCTGTACGTGCCACTCCATTCGGACATGCCTCTAGCACACCTCATTAGACAAGGGGCCGTTCATTTCGCCTTGGTTCTGCGCCAAATGTCCGTGTTCGCTCTACCTGCCATCTAAATACAAAGCTTGCAAACAGTGCGGCCGCCTTCCACTACCAGGCATGCAAATAAACAGGACTGCCAGCACCGCACCAACTACAATCACAAATCCGGTGCTGCGGGGTTGGAGTGACAGCTACACGGACAGTGCCAGGGGTGCATTGGATCAGGCCTCGTGCATCACCAAATAATGAAACACCTCCTGGCAGGCGTGGCCTCCACTCAACACGCCGTAGTCAGCCTAGTAAAAATTAACGCCCACCGTGGCCCGCGTGCTGCGGTGGCCATTTGACTTTCATCTGGTATTGATCGCCACTTCGCCAAAATGGAGGAAATTTCCGCCGGCCCTCGACGCCCCGCTGTCCAGCGTACGGCGCTGTGTTCCGCTGCCCCAGCCACGGCCTATTCCCGCCACGTGCCGGCAATGGGGCGGCCGCGGCCCATGGCCGGTCAATATGGGACCCCAGGCCGCCGCCAGGGGCCGAATAAGAATACGCATCAGAGCAAGGGCGCGATCCAAACAGGCGGGTGCGGGCTAATCGCGGTACGTGAGCGGACATGGCAGCGGCTGGTTACGGGTGCCACCCGGACTGGGCGCCTCGACACCCGGGTCACCCGGACTAGGCGTCTCGACACCCGGCGGGTGCCACCCGGACAAGGCGCCTCGACACCCGAGTCAGCCGGACTAGGCGTCTCGACACCCGGCAGGTGCCACCCGGACAAGGCGCCTCGACACCCGGGCCACCCGAACTCGGTGTCTCGACACCCGGGTGCCGTTCGGACTGGGCGTCTCGACAGAGCCAAAACAAAACTGAAAACATAAAGAGCCCTTCAATACGCGGTGCATCTCGGCAATGGGCCCGTGAGCAGGTCCAGGCTGAGTGTTCGCGATGAGAGACCGCGGCGCGGGGCCGCCGCGAACTCCGTGTGGGACCGGCAGAACAGGTGGAGGATCTCGGGCGCCAAACATCGACAGGACAGCATCAGGTAAGTGGCGGATGTGGGAAAACGTAAGGCGGGGCTAATAATCCAAGCTTCTAAAATAGCGCAACGAAAAACACTAAAATACGTGTTAGTGAGTGTCTAAGTAGCAGCGTGCGTCGGCGGTCTGGGGGTACTTACGTGCGGGTCATCGGACCCAATAACAAGGGTAAAGGTCCTTGATTACAAAACTGCATACGAAGCCTGACACGACTAGCATCTTATAGCATGGCGAACATGGGTATCGCTATCGTGTCGGTCACATCACATGAAAATTGACGGCTTTCCCAGATCTCGCGGCAAACTCCGGCCTGCGTTTTCTGACCGCTAATCGAAACGTTAAAAGATGAGAAAATGCATAGTAAGCATGCAGTTCTTAAGATTCGCGGCAAAACTGGCGATGCTTCACAGTTAGTAAGGAAACCAAACGGCGCTCACACAATTTTTTGGATGCGGAGGATGCTCTCAAAATGGCATCACGTAGCATGGCTTAAAATACCTTTTACAGCAAAACCGTACGGGACTTCCCCTGCATCCGATCACCATCTGCCCGGGCCGAGTGTTCGCGATGAGATGAGATGAGATGAGAATGTTCAACGAGACACGTATTTTCCAAAAGAACATTCACATGAGAGAACCTTCAGCTTATGACTACCAGACGGAACCTGGGGATGGGCTTGGAAACGAAAATCTGAGTCTGGGAGCGCCTGACAGCATCACCCGCAGTCCGCCGACGCACGTGCAAAGCTCAAGCAACATCAAACTGATGCGCTAAGCCGGCGAGGCCGGCGCGCCCGGTCGACGGCGGCGCCGCTGCCGAAGCCGGGAGCATTACCCTTGCCGAGGACGGAGTGGGCGGAGTCGAACGGCTCGGGAGAAGGGCCCGTGATGGTGATGACGTCGTCCGCGCCGGGTGCCGCCACCTTACCGTCCTCCAGTGTGCCATAGGAGGCGTTGGTGCTGGCCGCGGACACCTTGAAGCGCTCGGCCATGGCTGCGGGTCGGCGGCCGCGGACCTAGGCGCTCGGTCAGGGCTGCGGAGGAGGGGGCGGCGCGGTCAGAGACAGCTGCCGCCGCCGAGCGCGCGGCGGCGATGCGGCGACAGACGGACGCGACGCTAAACTGCCAGGTTACAATCATGGCAGACACAACGGTGTGAGAGACAGGGCGGCCCGCACCGGGACTCGTACAAAGACGTGTACAACAGGTGGGCGCCACGTGCGACAGGCAAGCACGCGGAGCGTGCCGCCAGCCTAGGCGCGGCGGACGGCGCACATAAACGGATGGCGGCGCCGACGCCACCACGCACAGGGCCAGTCAGGACGACATGCAAGACACACCCACCGCCGACGCGTGGCCACCGGCTGGACCCGTCCCGCCCGCGCGCGCGGCCCGGCACTCCAGACCGGGACTAGACTTGGCCAGATGCTCCACGGCACGACCTCCAGCGAGGGCTTTAACGACAGCGGCCACACTACGCTACACGCGAGCCCGGCGCTCATCGCACACGGGCGTCCAATAACGTCGCACCACACGCGGGTCGTTGCAGCTCAATGCGCGCCGGGCACGGCACGCGCCGCTGTTTCACGCGGTAGCTGAGCAACAGCGATCCAGCGAGCCAGCCCCCTGTCCCCAGCCCCCCCCCCCCCCCCTCCGAGCGACGGCCGCGTTCAGAGTCCGCCAAACAGGCCAGGTGGGGCACACCCACGCCCCGACGGGGCTCTGGCTGCCGCGCCACCGGGTGCTAGCAGACGGTCACGTAACGACCAGCCACCTGTCACCGCACTGCACGGGCGACAGGGGGCGGGTAGGGGCGGGGGGGGGGGGGGCATCGATCGGCCTGGAGGAGCCATGCAGGCCACGTGTCGACGCGCCCGTGGTTACCCGCACGGCGTGCAGTTGTCGCTGGTTCTATCGAGCGGACACGGACGGTCCTGGCAGTGCGGCGCGCGCGGCAACGTGCGCCAAACCGCACTGTTCATCACGCCAGACGAACGTCATCGCAGCACTAACGATCTAGTCGCGAGGCGAAATATGCACTCAATGATGCTTGCGAGCCATGTTTTGTGAAACTTGGATGCATGCAGTGTTGATGAACTTGAGCACCTGCTTCCAAGCACACCCAAACATAAACAGTGGTCAGCTTACAGCAGGGAACTCAGCCATCCTTTGACTTGCATTACTCAGAGGATGTTTTGACTGTTCAGTGTGCCAAAGATAACACACATTGAGATCACATACTGGAGAGCCCAACCAAAGGCACTTCATTCCCTGGACCAGAGGTTCCATTCAGAAACTGCAAACTCTTGCTGAATTATGACATGTATTGTACATGCAAGCATGATATGAACCAAAGTAGGCATGACTTGAGACAGTCTGCTTGTATTAAACAGTCCTCTTAGAGATATTGTACAATTACTATTAAGACAGCAAACTGGGGGAAGGGCAGCAGATTGGGAGTATGGAGCAGAAACAGCAGGAGTCACAACTTGAAAAAGTTGAGCATAATCCCTCTGGCATCTCATGGAAAGACATAATTCTTAACATCCTCCTCTACTGAGAGGTGATTCTGATTTCAACTGACCACAATGACCTATACAATAGAAGAATTATATTGAACAAAAGTGCATTACATGCTCAGCCCAAAAAGCATAGCTGGTGATATAACATGATGTAACCTATTTTGCAGGCTCACACTGTATAACTATATACATTCAGCTGAATAGAATTTTTATTAGGTAACAAATAAGCACTATGGCAGCACCTATTATTTACCATGGACAACAGAGCTGCAAAGACAGCTGTGCTACTGGCTTATCAGAGCATGAGGTCATCTGTCATTTGTAACCTTCAGCTCAAGTGAGATGATTCTGGATGTTAATAATACCCAATATTATCAAGGGTAGAAAAACTCAAAATTTATATGTAGATGTGCAAAAGGAATCAAATTTCAAAAATGTCTGGAGCATGTCTTCTTAAAATCAAAGCAGATAGCAAGTAGTGAATCAAAAACATTTATATAGTGATTTTCTAGGCCATACACATCCAAAACAATAAAATAAAGAACATAAACAAACAGTCAATATATCTTAAATTTGAGTTTTATATGTCCAAAAGTCCCAAGTTTGGTGCAAATTAAATTTGGAGCAAATCCCAGAGTTTGGCATACATGAACTACAAACTTAAGCATATTAAGAGAAATTGCTTCAATGCATTATAATGTAGCTATAAAAATTCAAGCAGAAATACTCTTAAACATCTTTAAGGCAGAAATGCCTTAGAGATTCAGCTCAGTTTGGCCTGGCCTGAGTTCAGGGTCTGGGGCACCTAGGGTACAGGATGTGAACATCACATCACCATGCAGCTCGGAAGATAGAATCTTTGAAGGCTGGACCATATGAAAAAGCTCAAGGCTAGCCAATGACACCTAACAAACTGAAGGCTGAAGATAAGCACACAATTTTTTGGGTTGGAAACAAAAAGTTAATTTTTAGGTTTTGATGTGGGCAAATCACAAATACAAAATCACAAAATTACATGTGCTACAGTGAATATAAAATTTATCATGCAACTAACAGAACAAAAATGTCTCAACCTAACTAATGTGCAATGCTTATTCCTACATTGTCCTTGCATAGTACAAGCAATAATGTTATGGCAGCCAACTACCAAATGTCTACATGTCTTTCATACAGCATGCTTCAGCAATCAAAGTAATGAGATGAAGGGCTTTCATGTAATCTGACAAATTATGCATATTCCCAAATGTTATGGTGGCCAACTACCAAATGTTTACATGCCTTTCATACAGCATGCTTCAGTGATCATAGTAATGAGATAAAGAGCTTTCATGTAACCCAACAAATTACGCATATTCCCAGCCCTAGTTGGCCTGTATATCCAGACATTCCTTTAAATTGCCTATGACAACACAGAAACCCAAGAGGCACTCAGACGCCAGTTGTATTCACCGTATCACATGAAGGACAGCTCAAAACCATCTGCTGCGCGCCATTGAAACCTATATGGCTTTGATATTTAAATGGGCACTTCGTGACCAAGCTTCTCACCTCTGTAAACTCGGACAGGTCGCAACAGACCCCGGCGAAAGCTACACCTGCACGACCACGCACAGCAGCTTTGTGAATCATCGGCTTTAATTGTAATGGACAACTAAGTTAATTAGCTACTTTCAGAACATATGAGTACATAAAGATGCTCCAAAAGTTCATAAAAAATGTGACTTTTATAACTTTTTATCGCATTCCTTTTAAACTGTCGCTATATTTCTGAAGAAAAACCTAATTCTCGGAATAATGGCTAATAATACAACCCTTAAATGAGCCACTGTCCATGTTTTTTTCAACTTGGTACGAAACACCCATCTCTATTTATGTTGCGATGCAAATATTCCGCGACTGTTACACTCCTGGGCTGATTTTGCATAGTGCGGAGGGCGCGATACATATTTTGAGTGGTTGTAACACGTATCATTAAGGATCGGGTTGCGTAGCAGGTTGCAGGACTTGGCGCTAATTTTCAATAACATAAGCAGCCGAGGATGGTAGGTTTTCCTTTTTCATGAAAAGAAAATGTGTGGGCTTCTGTGTTAAATGGGATGGGCAGGCATCGGGGTTGTGTGTAAGATTTCACTCTGATTGGAGCTGTACATTTTTTTTTGATATCCAGTTGAGCGTGCTGCGTTGAGCGAACTGGCAGCCTAACATTCTAGCACAATTTAAAACAACATGGTATGTCCTTGATTTGCTATGAGGAGATGCATGTGTTCGTGGGGGGGGGACTATGGCGATATGCCACTAATTTACATTTGTTCAAAAAGTTACAAGAGTTAACATAGGTGACTTCCTGGAGGCTTCTCGAAGCAGTGAGGAATAGGAGCAGACACACATTCGAACCAGATATGACTTAGTTATAGTTTGTTCAAAACAAGATGTATCAGCTTGCAGTTTGCAGTGGAATGTAGGCTCATTTTCCTCATGGCCTTCCATGTCATGTTGGATGGCATGACAGTCACAATTGGTTTTGCTTGCCTACCAGTCTGAAAATGATAAAGATGCCACTGGGATATTGAGAGCAGCCTCAATGCCTAATTCAACTGTGCTAGGCAGTGCCTTTGCATCAAGGTCTCATCAAAACTTGTTGTAATTGGTAGAATGGCATGCTGACCATTCTGTCACTTCAGCTTGGATTTGCAACATAATAGTCTTATGCTGAAATGTTATGATAATGAAGCTCATGTGAAAATTTTCTCCTTAGACTGCAGCAATACAGATGTGTTTTATTCACAAAAACATGGTTTAGATAAAGTATATGCATTGCTTGATAACAATCATGCTGTATTAGATTTACTGCATGCTGTATAAAGTAACACTGTTTTGGGATTATTGCATATTATATGGTAGACATTCTGCCCACCATTTTGCCTTTGGGTGTTTAAAGTATAATAGTAATGAATGTGCTTGGTTGTGTTCACTTCATTGTTTTTTTTTAAATCACTGCCTTTTGGCTTCTAGTATTTTGCCACTGGGAGAAAAGTTGTTGCCTTTTCAGATATTTGCATTCTTGACATGGCGTATTCTCCCTAGAAGTACCAACATGCCATGCCTCTCAATGTGTGATAGAGGAACATGTCAGACAACATGATATTTACATGTGACAACCAACTTGATTTGTTAATGATGCTGCTTATCCTGTCTATGATACACAGCATGATATGGCAAGTGTTAATGACAATAGTGTAGGAATAATCAAGCACTTTGTCATGATCTCAGTAATAGCTGCATGCTTGATTAATGTCAGCTTAGTCACAAAGATAACTGCAAAGTGAATGACCAGGCAGTAGGTTAGTTCAATGCCTGCATAGACCTCAATAACAAACATAGGCATTGTTTCATCACATTTGACCCAGGATAAAAAGACTGTAGAAACTTCTATCATGCTCTGCTATTCCTAACCCACATGATTTGGTGGCAGCCATCAACTCCAATTGATGACCAGGACAAGGTCCTGGATGAGGCCAAGTCCAACACCAAGCTGCAGGCCATGCAGATGAAGCGAGCCCTGGACCAGGGCAAACTCATGGATGGCCTCAAGTTTGCCTCTGCACTGCTAGGAGAGCTTAGAACTGCTAGGTGAGGCTGTTTGGACAGGGGATTTATGTAGCAAGCAATTGATCTGATTCTTTGCATAGAGCAGGGAGCACCATAAGCAGTCCTGTTCATGGGGAGGTTGTCCTTATGGTTCATGAAGAAACTTTCATCAGACACATTGCTACAGCTGCCACTAGTCTTGGGTGTCTCAGATGTTAGCATTTTTGTGGTGAACTTGTGGATGTGCTGATAGTGGCATTGTTCTGTCCTTGTCTATATTGAGTTAAGAGGAACACAGTGGAGTGTGAAACTGGTCTGGTGTCAGTGACACCAAAACACCACCTCAGTGCTGCACTATTTTCCTATGCACAGGCTGTCACCAAAAAGCTACTATGAGCTGTATATGGTGATCTGCGATGAGCTGAGGAACCTGGAGGTGTGCCTGGTGGACGAGTTCCAGAAGGGCCGCAAGCCCACCGACTTGTACGAGCTGGTGCAGTATGCAGGCAACATCGTTCCCCGGCTGTGAGTGCTGCTGAATGCCAGCTGTCCAGTCTGCCTTTTCATGGCCACTGAGCATTGGTTGGTGATGGGGTAGTGATACCATTATGCACGAGGAATTGAGCTGTAAACCATGCTAAATGCTGTAAGCCGCTGTAAGGCCGTCAGCTGTAAAGCTGAGCTGTAAAGCCATCAGCTGGTGATGATCTGGGCACTTAAGAAGTGCTGACTCACCAACAGTATTTCAATATTTGGCTTGGGTGGTGGGGATGTCAATATTTTGTGATGCTATTACGCCTGGAGCTTGGGCTTCACTGCCTGTTTCCCCTCCCTTTGCTCAAAATCGGTCAAACATCATCAACCAAGTAACTAACCCAGCATCTAAGCACCTCAGGCTTGACAAATAGGCCAGGCAGGTCAGATGTCTGAGATTGGGTGAAAGGCGGCGGATTAGCGCCAACGAATTGCGTGCGGGTGCAGCAGGAGAACTAGGACTCTGGTAGAAATAATTTATATTCACATCCTGGTCACCTCACTGGATGAAGTTTGGAGCGTTGTAAATACATGCTTTTCACACGTGCTCCCGCGTTAACCTGATGACGCAGTGCGCGTCGTCGTCGGACGTTTCCGCTCACATGTTTCGTGTCGGCAGGCCTCTTGCAGGGCGCCCTTGCCGGAACTCACGGCGGCCCGCTCCGGCCGGTCCGCTCCGTGGCAGGTCTCGTTCCGTCTGCTGAGCCGTGCCCGCGCGCGCCGCCAGGTTCCTGCTGATCACGGTCGGCCGCGTCTTCACGAAGACAGTGCCGCAGGCGACGCGCGACATCCTGCACGACCTGGTGGAGATGTGCCGCGGCGTGCAGAACCCGCTGCGCGGTCTGTTCCTGCGCAACTACCTGCTGCAGTGCACCAAGGACATCTTGCCTGACACGGAGCAGGAGGACGACGAGAAGACCGGCACGGTGAGCGGCGACGGCGGCGGCCGACCGAACCCACTGCACCCTGCTCGAACGCCGTGGTGTCTCCCGATTGAGAGGAAAAAATCAGTGGTATCGCACTATTTGTATGAATCCGTATATCCGTCATCGATTGGGAGGAAACAATCATTGTGATCGTATCTTTTGTGGCGATCGGTACGTTCGTCATTTAAGTTTGTTTGGCAATGGTGTGCACTAATTGCCGAACCTCTTCCCTACCATTAAGGGTGTGGAAGGACGTGCCTTGCGGCTTGCTTGACGCTGATATGTGATGCACCATGACCGTGTCCGTGTAAGCGTCAGTCGGCCCCGCAGCCGCCTGCGTCGCCCCGTGGCCGCGGCTGTCCGCCGCTCGGCGCCCGCGGGCCGCTGACTCAGCCAGCGCCGGCCAGGTGCTGGACTCGATCGACTTCATCCTGCTCAACTTCGCCGAGATGAACAAGCTGTGGGTGCGCATGCAGCACCAGGGCCACACGCGCGACCGCGAGCGTCGCGAGCGCGAGCGGCAGGAGCTGCGCCTGCTGGTGGGCACCAATCTGCTGCGGCTCAGCCAGCTGGAGGCCGTCAATGTCGACATCTACAAGAAGGTAGGCGGCCGAGGGCATAAGTGAGTGTGGGTGCTGTGTCGTCGTGTGTACCCGCGGTCTGTCTGTCGGTGTGTGACGCTGCATCACTTCCGCAGACGGTGCTGCCCGGCGTCTTGGAGCAGGTGGTCAGCTGCCGGGACCCGATCTCGCAGGAGTACTTGATGGAGTGCGTCATCCAGGTCAGTGGCCGTCGCCAGAGCTGGTGCGGTCGGGATGCCGCTGCCGTTGTCGTGAAGGCTGTTCGCGGGCTTGACATGCTTCTTCTTGGCATGCACACGACCTAGAGTTTAACTATAAAAATACATGGTGCGCAGGTTCCCTGCAGAACTGCGAACCTGTGAAACCACTGAAACGATAGCACCAGTCACTAGCGCTTCAGGCACATGTTTCCGTGACACGACCGCCGCGGCTGCACCAACCCTAACGCCACGGGTCTCGTGGAAGACGGGATCTCCCTCGTCTGCCTGTCCGCGCGGCGCCGAGTCCGCCGCCGACCGCCGCCGGGCCGCCGTCAGGTGTTTCCGGACGAGTTCCACCTGGCCACGCTGTCGTCGCTGCTGAAGGCGTGCGCCGAGCTGCACCCGGGCGTCAACGTCAAGACCATTATCATCTCGCTCATCGACCGGCTGGCCATGTTCGCCACCAGGGACGACGGCGCCGGCATCCCCGAGAACGTCAAGCTCTTCGACATCTTCTCGGAGCAGGTCGCCGATGTTATCCAGGTGAGTGCAGTCGTGGACGGCGGGCGCCCGTTCGGCCGGGCTCGCGGAGGTGTTCAGGGTACATCCCGCTCGGAGCAGTGGAGGGGGATGGGAGGGAGGTGGAGCAGTGGGGAGCGGGGGGGGGGGGGGGGGGGGGAGGACATTGGGCATGCAGAGTGCTGGCAGTTGAAGTGCCAAATCTTTGTTTGAATTGCAGATTAACCTTGGAAGGGACAATGTGAACTTGAAAATGGACATGGCATGCTCATGGCAATGCCGTCACCATTACAAGTGGCACCGCAGCCTGACATTTCACAAATGTCTGTAATTTCCTGAATGGCTCGCACACGACGTAATATTTCAAGTGCTGGCGACTGCTGTGTTGTGGTTGGACCACCATGGTCAGCTGGTGGCACTTGTCGAAGTTCACTACAGCTAGTAATTTGCCGCTCTCGCAATTGCCCATTACTGCGACTTTGTTAGTCACTGTTAGACGTAAGTATTGAGGTGAATTAAGTATTGAACCGTACTATCATTTAGCCATGACAAAGGCAGAGCCTTTGCATTACTCGAAGCAAGTTGGAGGCAGGTAGATCTTTGCGAACTCAGTGCTGTGAAAATCTAGATTGCATGTAAAAGTGTTAGTCCTCAGCAGTACTAGGAGCTGGAAGCTGCAGAAAGAACAGTAGTCTTGCCCGCCAGCGTGTATCCTGACCTCCACAGGCCAATTCAGGCCAGCATGACCGCAATTCGTCGTCAGTTACGAGGCCCTGCCCCGCATCTACCCTGTGTGACGCGAGGGCTTCTGACCGGCAGAACCGGGCCGGCAACCTGCCGCCGGAGGACATGGCCGCCCTGCAGGTATCGCTGCTCAACTTGGCGCACAAGTGCTACCACGACCGGCTCGACTACGTCGACAAGGTGTTCGAGCGCACCGCCGAGCTCATGAACGGCATCATGGCCACCAGGTGCGTGCTGGCGGCGGACGCTCTCATCCCCGCCCCTGGCCGCCCTCGCCGCTAGGGGCGGCTCGTGGTCCAGACCCGACTCCGTGGGACTCTGCCGGGTGCGGGATGACAGGGATTCAGCTGGGGTGGTCCGTGCGGTGGACTGTGCACATTTGGCTCAGCTCACCGCCTGGCGTCGCCCAGTCTGCAGAGCGCTCGTCCATGACAGTGTGCTGAGATCTCGAGCTTTGGCTCGGCCACCGCCTGGTGTCGCCCGGTCTGCACAGTTGGCTCGGCCACCGCCTGGTGTCGCCCAGTCTGCGGAGCGCTCGTCCGTGACAGTGTGCCGAGGTCTCGAGCTTTGGCTCGGCTACCGTGCTTGTGTTTCGTCGCCTCCCGCTATCGCTGGCGTGAAAGGCCGCGACACTAATGGCCAACTGCTACTTTACGCGTCCCGAGATAATGCAGCAAAGCCCGATGCATGTGTCGAGGTGGACAGTGGTCTCTGACCGCCGCACGTCTGCAGGGTGGCTGCCGACAGCGCGCTGGGCAAGGAGCTGCAGCGGCTGCTGCAGATCCCGCTGGACAGCTACGACGACCTGACGGTGCTGCAGCTTAACTTCTTTACGCCTTGCCTGGAGCTGCTGGACTACGCCGCTCGCCGAGACGTCGCCATGCACCTGATCGAGCGCATCATCGAGGCCGATATACGGGTCCAGCAAGCGGCTCAGGTCAGGGGTTCGGATGCTGATGGATGGGTTCAGCGGGCGGGCCAGGTCAGGGGCTCGGGTGGTGATGTATGGGTCCAGCAAGCGGCTCAGGTCAGGGGCTCGGGTGGTGATGTACGGGTCCAGCAAGCGGCTCAGGTCAGGGGCTTGGGTGGTGAGGTATGGGTCTAGCGGGCGGCCCAGGTCAGGGGCTCGGGTGGTGATGTGCGGGTCCAGCAAGCGGCTCAGGTCAGGGGCTCGGATGGTGATGTACGGGTCCAGCAAGCGGCTCAGGTCAGGGGCTTGGGTGGTGAGGTATGGGTCTAGCGGGCGGCCCAGGTCAGGGGCTCGGGTGGTGATGTGCGGGTCCAGCAAGCGGCCCAGGTCAGGGGTTCGGGTGGTGGTGTATGGGTCTGGCGGGCGGCCCAGGTCAGGGGCTCAGGTGGTGATGTACGGATCCAGCGGGCGGCACAGGTCAGGGGCTCAGGTGGTGATGTACGGATCCAGCGGGCGGCACAGGTCAGGGGCTCGGGTGGTGATGTGCGGGTCCAGCAAGCGACCCGGGTCAGGGGCTCGGGTGGTGGTGTATGGGTCTGGCGGGCGGCCCAGGTCAGGGGCTCGGGTGGTGATGTGCGGGTCCAGCAAGCGGCCCGGGTCAGGGGCTCAGGTGGTGGTGTATGGGTCTGGCGGGCGGCCCAGGTCAGGGGCTCGGGTGGTGATGTACGGATCCAGCGGGCGGCACAGTTCAAGGTTTCCGGGGCTGGCGTTTGTGTCCACGTAACGCAGGCCAGGGGATCGGGACCCGCTACGGTCGGGATGGCGAGTCCGCCCCAAGGGTCGGCGCACTGGGCCGACTGGCGTGGGCCGCGGCGATTGGTTGACGTGCATTGCAATCAATTCAGGTCGGGGTCGCCGTGCCGCCGTGCGAGCTCGGCAAACGGCGTGGGCGATAATCTTGTGATCTTTTGGAACATCGACGCGTTACTGATACCATCGTGAACCATGGCTGGATGTCGTGACAACCAGGATCAAATATGAATGGGTACTCCCTTCGTCAACGTAGCGAAGAATAGGAGGACATTTTGGCTCGTAAAGCAGGTGGTGGTAGCCTATGCTGTGCAGTGGGTGTTGCTAACTCGCTGAGTCAGTGGAAATATGCCCATTAACTGCAAACTCGGTGCTGAACTTTTTTGCATTTTTTTGCACACAAAAAAACATTTCGTGGCGAAAATACATTTTGCATGCAACCACACTCCTTTTGCGTGCTGACTCGAATAACCTTATTGTGAGCGGGATCGGCATGTATGTGGGCTGAGGGTCAGGTCTATCGGTCTGTGACGTGAACTCGGTGTCTCGCCGCGTCCTCTCCCAGGTGGACAGCCTGCTGACCCTGATCGGCGTGCTGGTGGCCGACCAGCCCGACTCCAGCTCCGACTTCTCCGACGACGACTTCAACGAGGAGCAGGAGCTGGTGGGACGGTGAGCTCGCCCTGGCGTCATGTCGGCAAATGCGCCCTGCTGTTCTAGTCCACTAATTGTCTGCAAAAGTTTGCTGCTGTTGCATTTTCCATATTCGGAACCGTCGGGATGGTTTTAAGTCGTACACGCAATACGCATCAGCAGTTAACTATGGCCGCTATAAAGAATTTGGACACAGTAGGTGGGCTTTCATGCCAAGGGTGATCCCCCGCCCTCGTGGAGCATCGAGTGGATCGTCGAGGCTTCTCGGGAGTCGGCCCTGCCTGACTCCGGCGCTTCCCCGGGTGCTGCAGCTTCATCCACCAGATGACGTCGGAGGAGCCGGACCAGCAGTACCTGATCCTGACGTCGGCCCGACGCCACTTCGGCACGGGCGGCCGTCGCATCAAGTTCACCCTGCCGCCGATCCTCTTCAAGGCCTATCAGCTGGCTTACAAGTACCATAAGCTGGAGGAGAACGTACGTGCGCGCGCCGGGCGACGCAGAGCCGGCGTGGGCTTGGCTCTGTGGAGTGTGCAGCGTTTGTGCCCCACCGCGCTTGTGCGCGTTCGGTTATGTAGGAGTATGGTTTATTTCAGGGTGTGCGATTATGTTACAATTCATTGTGTGTGCTTCATCTTTTTTAAACCGTCGAGCCACAACGTTGAGATGTGTTAAAACATGATAAATGATGCTCAGTTCTGTACGCACACCTTCGTCCATCCAATGGTATGTATGGGGTAGGAGATTTTGAACGCGAGTAGTCGTCCTCGCCGCCCCTCCAAGAGCTGGGCGTCTGGACGTGTCGCGCCGCCGCGGGCTGCTGAAGGTATGCGGACCGTGCAGCCTCGCTCACACTCGGCGCGTCCACCTGGGCCCGACACCCCGGCCCGGGGGGGGGGGGGGGGCAACCGTGCGCCGTCCTCGCCGCCCCCCAAGAGCTGGGCGTCTGGACGTGTCGCGCCACCGCGGGCTGCTGAAGGTATGCGGACCGTGCAGCCTCGCTCACACTCGGCGCGCCCACCTGGGCCCGACACCCCGGCCCGGGGGGGGGGGGGGGGGGGCGAACCGTGCGCCGACATCGCCGCCGGCTCACGCCTTCCGCGCGCGGCCGGCAGGACGACAAGTGGGACAAGAAGGTGGGCAAGATCTTCCAGTTCTGCCACCAGACCATCATGGCGCTGGTCAAGGGCGAGCAGTACGACGTCAGTCTGCGGCTGTTTCTGCAGGGCGCCGTCGTGGCCGGCCGGGTGCCGTTCAGCAACAACGAGACGGTCGCCTATGAGTTCATGTCGCAGGTTAGTGGTGGTCACGCACCGTCGTGGGAAGCGGCGGGCTGTTCGGCACTAACTCCGCGGTCGCCCGGTGAGGGGTGTAAGTGGCTTGAGACAATTAAGACAGATGTAAGAGACTTGAGTCTGCCGTCTGTGAGATTCGAGAGCGGCTGAAGGCAGTTGATACACATTCACTAGATTTCCTGAGTCTCCCTTGTTACATACAGTACTTTCATATCACCTCTATGTTTTATAAAGCAATTGCTCAGTGGTAAATAGGTTACTCACAAGCCAGTTGACCCTGGCTTCGGAGGCCATCACCACGGTTGACTTTTCCGGCCATGAGATGTCGCTGTTGCGACGGGCGGGCTGAACGGTCGATCGGCAAGGCCGGTGTTGTTTCACCGGCAGATTCTATATGGGTGAAACAGATAACGATTCATGAGGAGTTGTCATCATTGCGGCTGGAACTGACGTCAAATCGTAGAACGTAGGGATATCCGCGACCATGTGATTGGTTGACTGTAAAACGATACAGCCACCGAGCTCCAAAAGTACTTCTTTCTAGACGCTTCTAGCACATTTCATTTGTGGTGTACTTCGAGCCTGGCATTATAAGTGATAATATCACAGATGTGCGGTAAAGTGTTAGATTGGCTGATGGTAGCTGTGTGCGCGACTGCGGCTTCTGCGTGCTTGAACATGGTGATAGTGTGACGCCATTTTTGTCTATGCGGAATGGTGGTGAATATCTTATCAAATTTCTGATCAATCCTGGCAGTCTTTGCACAACTGGTAATGTGTTTCTAACATGAAATCTGTTGCATCATGTTTTATCCCCTTCTGATTAGCCTAAAAGATAAGATACCCCAGGAGTGTACGTCTGAATGTCCTGTGTATGTGCATTACTTCTTTCCTTCATGGCAGGTATTTGAAAAACACGGATTTTATCACAACCAGGTGTAAACCAATAATTTGGCTCCATTCTGCCTAGCGAGACCGCACCAGCTTTGGAGGCTGGCACAACCTTTTACAGTTCGTTGGCGGTGTCCTCCGGAACTGTTCGATACATCACGATAACATTTGGATTATGCTAGTTTGGAACATGCTTGCACTTGATTGAATAGTTAAGTATTGCTAACGTATCTGGTCGTCCAACTATGGCCTCGTTCCCAAGGGAACGGACGGCACAAATACTGGAATATGGTGCTCCGTGGCAGTCCAGGCACTGTGCTCACAATATTTTTCTGTACGGTAGTTCAGAATCTTGTTTAGTTGTGCTCATTAATGCCGAGAACCCTCCACAAAGCTTATTTGTGGTCAGAGTGATATCACGCCGAATATTGAACCTGACGCCAAGTGCTTCACGCTTCTAGGCCGTTGTGCGATAAAGCAATTGACGGGATGGCGTCGGTGGCGACGTAAGGGACATTCCGAACCAAAGTCACGCCAGTTTGTGTTCTGAAAGTGCCTGAGGCTAATGACAGGCCATTGACAGCGCATGCAAACTCACCCTGTGTTTAATGTGCGCCTCAGCCCCATAGCGTGTGGGCCATAACGGAGCATGCACGTGACGTCTCTAGTCACCAGGCTCGTTCGCGTGCGCCGTGGCATGTCGCCGCTGGCGTGAGACTGCACTGGGGTCGGCTCGTGTGTGACGGTGAGCCGGTGGGGCCAAACCTTGTGTGACCGCGCCGTGCTCCGTCCTGCAGGCCTTTACGCTGTATGAAGAGGAGATATCGGACAGTAAGGCGCAGCTCGCGGCAATCACACTCATCATCGGCACACTGAAACAGGTGAGGGGGCCATCACGCTCATCGTCGACACTGAAACAGGTGAGGGGGCCATCACGCTCATCGTCGACACTCTGAAACAGGTGAGGGGGCCATCACGCTCATCGTCGACACTGAAACAGGTGAGGGGGCCATCACGCTCATCGTCGACACACTGAAACAGGTGAGGGGGCCATCACGCTCATCGTCGACACACTGGAACAGATGAGGTGGCCATCACGCTCATCGTCGACACACTGGAACAGATGAGGTGGCCTTGATACTCATCAGCAGGACACTGCGGCAGGTGGGGCGGCCATCACGCTCACTCTCAGGGTGCTGAAGTGTGCGAGGTGGTCACCTCGTCAGCGGCACACGAATAAAGCTCAGGAGGACGCCGCTCATCACACCAGTCTGAGCACCGAAACGGGCGATTCTTTATCTTGCCGGAGAAGCGGTTTACTTCCTGCTCACTGGTTTCGGTTTCGAGCACTTCTCCCCAGTCAGGGCCCCGCCGAACCCTAACTGGCGCTGCGCCTGATCTCCATGTTGCCCCTCCTCTTCGCGGTGCCAACAGTCAATCACGTTCAGGCATGCCATCAATGATTCGCACAGTTTCGGCGGCAATGTGGTTGGCGCGGAATGAATGGAGACTGATCTGAATGCGGATGTCTCTTCATGTTTATTGTGTCCCTGTGTCTTGTTTGCTGTATCACGCCTTCATTAGACGCCATCTTGACCACTTGGCCACCAGATATGTATATATATATATATATATATATATATATATATATATATATATATATGTTCATATTTATACGTTATCTCTATCGGTCAGCCAATTTGGCCACGAGATAGTGACGTCTTGTATAATTTATTGAGTGCATGGCGTGTTTTATTAGGACAGAGCTATTTTGGTGTCAGAATATGTGCCGCTTGAAAAAATCGTGCTCCGTGATGGCCGTCAGTTTCCTACGGAGAGTTGATGTAAGTAAAATGGAGTTTGATCTTATCCGCGCATTTTAGAACATAATAACTTAAACAGCGAACTGTTTGTGAAAAATTCCATTGAAAATTGGGATGAGCACGGACTTTTCTGTCAGACGCAACACGTGATAAATGAAGAGGCCATCCAATTGCATTAGTTGTTGAAGACCGACGTCTGTTTCTGTCTCTGTTGATTAAGTGGCTTACGTCTTGATTCATTAGGTTGTGTACGTCAAGGGCGATTTAGATAATAAAGGCGTTGTAGTGTATACGGTAGCCAATTTTAGATCAGTGGTCAAAAGCAGTATAAGTGAATTGGCGAGGCGATGAAGATGCTATTGTTTCGTGAGTAACACCATATGTTTTGTAGGCATTATGTTTTGGTACCTGGGAGGTTTGGCCGCGGTTATAAATATGTGTATGCAATACGTATACATATTTGATGTCTCACACGGCTGGCGTTGAGAAGTGTCTATTAAGTGCTTAATAGCGCACGCCTTGGGTCCGTCGCATGGAATCCATCCTAACAGAATTTGTCATGTCCGTAAGCTTCCACCCTGGTCAAGGCACGCGTTGTGGTTACTCTGATTGAGACAGCCTGTCCATTTATCCTCCTTGTCCTACCCGTGATGTACCTTGCTAAGCACAGCCCCAGTCCTAACTGAGTGCGATCTAAGTTGTGTTATCCGCTTCCCTGGGCCGTGGGGTTCCTATTCTACGCCGCCCATCCTTGCATCCTCAGCTCCCGCCCCTGTGACGTCTTTGTTCGCGTGATTTCTATCATTGTCACCGGTCGCTGCGGGCACATGAATGGTCTCCAGCGCATGCGGACGTGCGGCCATGCGCAATATATGCGGCGGTTCAGAGGTCCGCGTATGGACGTCATACACCACGCCCTTCGCGTGCTGTAGCAACGTTCGCCTGGAGATGTATCTGACACGGCGCAGGTGCGCGCACAATGCCCGGGGGCTGCACTAATGGCGGGGTCGTCATCCCCGGAGACGTGTACTGCGGCGGGTCCTGTATAGCCGGCCGGGGACGTCCGACGGGGAGGGGGAGAGGGCTTTGTCTCGTGCCGTACAGCTGAGCGCGGTTGGCTGCCGCGCTGGCGATGTTGGCTCGGATCGATCCCATATGGCGCTGGAAGCCGTCACGCTGGCCTCACCGGCCGCCCGGCAAATTACCGCCGGAGCGAGCGAGAGCGCGGCGGGTCGGGCCGCGGCGCGTGCCGGCCCCTGTCGCCATGGCGACGCCGGCGGCAACAGAGCGTCTTCCGGGCCGGCTGGCTGGTGGAAGAGCCCCGGTGCGCTGCCCGCGCTCCGGGCGCGGCTGGCCCGCCGGCGGCGGCGGCGGAGCCTGGCACAGGGCGGCTCCGGCTCCCGAGGCCGGCTCCCGAGGCCGGCTCCCGAGGATAGCAGCCCACCCACGCTCGCCGGCCGAAACTGTGATCGTCGCGACATTTGTCCGTCCGTGGGTTGGGAGGACCGAGCTTTCAGTGCGTCGCAGCGTGTGTCTGCCTGCCTGCTGGGTCTGATCTCGGACTGTCCTGAAGTATAATGTCTGAGTAAGGGGGTCAGCTGGACCTGTGTTGCTTGTAACTCTACTCAGCGAGTAAGCCATTGATAAAATATGAATGCAATAAATGCTGTGGACGTTCAAAGCTTGCTGGAAATTGGGCGATGCTAGCGATATCAAATTTGTCATGTTTTTTTTTTTTGCTCATGCGACGCGTTACGATTTGCATGCGTCTTTGCTGCTGCCTCACCAATGCGCTGCACTTTTGTCCGTTAAACATGTATGGATCTAATATTCCATCAAAGAAGACGGGCCATGCGATCTCGTCAGACGACTTCGTCATTATACGATGTCACGGCAACTTTGCAATCGGTAACAAGTGGATATCGTTCCTTTGATCTGGGGAGCAACGGCCGGTGCTAATTGGGACAATATCAAATCGGCCGTGCTCCATGCATTGTCTAAAAAAAATTGCGTCTCTTGTGTGCCGTGACCGAGAAAGAAGGGAAAATGTCATCAGAATCCAAACACATGTATTATTTTTGTTTGTATCCACCATTCTGTTGTTCTCGTGTTCCTGAAAGCTGACGTAATGCGGGCACGTAGTCTTGTCCATCGAGGAGTACGTCGGTGTCGTTCCGCCGGTAGTTTAATGTCGGTTGGCTTGTGGCTCTGTCTTTGGCCGGTGGTCGGAAGCACGTTGCATCTCATTCACGTGTATGCCGGTGTCCGTTGTGGCGTATTTTTGCCCCTGTCCGGACGTGCATTGTCTGTGAGCGTGTGTTGGCGTCTGTTCGGCTGTTGGCCCGTGTCCGCCGGGAGATCAACCTGATGCCCGGGCCGTGAAATAACGCCTGATTTCGCTGCGCGCCAGGCGGGCGCTCTGCGCGTGGTGATGCCCCAACGCTGTCTTGTCTGTTGGACACCCGCTCCGCACGAGCAGAACTGGCAATGTCGCGTCTGTCGGGCAGATGTCCTGTTTCGGGGAGGAGAACCACGCGCCGCTGCGGACGCAGTGCGCGCTGGCGGCCAGCAAGCTGCTGAAGAAGCCGGACCAGTGCCGCGGCATCACCACCTGCGCCCACCTCTTCTGGTCCGGCCTGCAGAACGACGGCTCCGAGGTCAGCACGTGTGCCACCCTCCCCTCCCCTCATCCCCCCCCCCTCCCCGCTCGCTGCCTTGTGCGCATCACCACCTGTACCCACCTCTTCTGGTCCGGTCTGCAGAACGACGGCTCCTAGGTCAGCACAGGTCCCCCCAGGCCTCTCCTCCCAGGCGAAGCAGTGGCGCGTGGCGCTCGTTTGGGGAGTCGAGTGTCCGGCTCATGCACGGCGGCACGGCCGCTGGTGTCGCCCACGACGGCAGGCGTCTCGTGCGCGTGTGATCGCCTTCCGACACGTCTTTCGTCTGGATTATGTGACTAGTTGCCGTGCTGATACCTTGCTGATGCGGATAATATGAGAGCTACTGACGGGCATTCTGTTAGCGGCTGCGTCTGCCTGCTCTGGCGCCGCGGCGGCAGTTTCTTTCGTCTGGATCGGGGCTGACCTGGACGGGGGCGGGTGCCTGTTCCGTCGCTGGGTGAACCTCATGCAGCCGGCTGTTGCGTCCGTGGGTCGGGGGATCGGGGCTGATCTGGACGGGGGCGAGTGCCTGTTCCGTCGCTGGGTGAACCTCATGCAGCTGGCTGTTGTGTCCGTGGGTCGGGGATCGGGGCTGATCTGGACGGGGGCGGGTGCCTGTTCCGTCGCTGGGTGAACCTCATGCAGCCGGCTGTTCCGTCCGTGGGTCGGGGGATCGGGGCTGACCTGCACGGGGACGGGTGCCTGTTCCGTCGCTGGGTGAACCTCATGCAGCTGGCTGTTGCGTCCGTGGGTCGGGGGATCGGGGCTGACCTGGACGGGGCGGGTGCCGGGGGGGGACTGTTCCGTCCGTGGGTGAGCCTCACCGTATCGGGGCTGGCCTGGACGGGGGTGCCGGGGGGGGGGCTGTTCCGTCCGTGGTTCGGGGGATCGGGGCTGACCTGGACGGGGGCGGGTGCCTGTTTCCGTCGCTGGGTGAACCTCATGCAGCCGGCTGTTGCGTCCGTGGGTCGGGGATCGGGCTGACCTGGACGGGGCGGGTGCCGGGGGGGGGGGGGCTGTTCCGCCCGTGAGTGAGCCTCGCCGGATCGGGGCTGACCTGGACGGGGCGGGTGCCGGGGGGGGGGGGCTGTTCCGTCCGTGGGTGAGCCTCGCCGTATCGGGGCTGACCTGGACGGGGGGCGGGTGCAGTGACGGACTGTTTCCGTCCGTGGGTCCGGGGATCCGGGGCTGACATGACGGGCGGGTGCCATGGTGGGGACTGTTCCGTCACGTGGGTGGAGCCTCGCCGTATCGGGGCTGACCTGGACGGGGCAGGTGCCGGGGGGGGGGGGGGAAGGGGGGCTGTTCCGTCCGTGGGTGAGCCTCGCCGGATCGGGGCTGACATGGACGGGGCGGGTTTCAGCTGCGCGACGGTAAGCGGGTGCTGGAGTGTCTGAAGAAGGGCCTGAGGGTGGCCAGCCAGTGCATGGACCCGTCCGTCCAGTGTCAGCTGATGGTGGAGCTTATCAACTCCTACTTCTACTTCTACTCACAGGGCAACAAGGAGGTGAGATGTACGCGGCAGTCCGCGGAGAAATGGTCGCACCTGCGAACAGGGCAAATTCGCTCTTCTCGTTTGTCGTTGTAGCGTGTAAACCAGACTGCCTGTTGCTAGATATCTGCCAGGTCTTGTGATTGTTAGCAAGTAAGTTATTCCGTTGGCTACTCTGGCGCGCGGTTTGTGTCTAAGTCGTGATAAGATTGGATTGTGTTCCCAGTCACCAGACGGGGAACATTGATTTCTCCTGGAAGCACTGGCGAGATGCTGATGAAATCGGCCTTTTCATGTCCGCTCAACCGTTTCTCGTTTCTCCAATTGTCCGCTCGCTGACGTTGATTGCATCTGCACTGCTCGCAAAAGTCCTCTGTGCACTCTCGGCTCGGCGTGCACCCAGCTTGTTCTTCACGCCACCCCACGTGCACGCAGATCACGATCGACATGCTGAACCAGCTGCTGGAGAAGATCCGGGAGGACATGCCGAGCCTAGAGCCATCCGACGAGACGACGCAGATCAACCAGCACTTCACCAACACGCTGCAGCACATCCGCGCCAAGGTGGAGGTGGCCGACGCGCCCGTCTCGTTCGAGGGCCTCGTCGTTTGAGGCCGCACCGGCGCCGGCGGGGACGTGACGCGCTGGGGCGGGGTTTGATCTGTAATGGTCTGCGGCGCCGCCGAGCACGGACGGAGCGGGCCGGCGCGCTGCTCGCGGCGGAGACGCCCGGCGAGAGGTGGCTTCTCTCGTGGTTGGGGCCGGCGGAAGCGCGGACCTTCGTCGAATCTGTTCTGTCAGTTGTGGGGCGCGTATTTGGTATGGTGGTCGTGGTGGCGCGTGTTGGTCGTTGGTCGCTTGGCACCCGCAGCCGTGTTTTGTTTGGGCAAGGCTGTCCTGATATACATTGCATGATAGTGTAAGACGTATTTTGAACGTAGTAAATGCGTGTTGATTAGGCTGGTGGTTTGAGCGGAAGGAAAGCTCGCGGACCCGCATGTGCATATAGCATGTTTTGGCGGCAACCGCGCTGGTGACGGTACTGTACTGTACTGTGCGACGGTACTGTACTGGTTGCCCAGCTATCTGCCATGTCGCAGCTGAATGGATATCAAATGTGCATTGCCCCCATTCCGATAAGCTATGGCTCGAACTTATGTATAATATGGTGATACATTACACAATATACACTTCATCCTCAGAAAACATTTGCGCCCAGCATATAGTCGAGCAAGTAGCCTATATCAGAGCAAGTATTCTGGCTTGTGAATAGGTAGCCGAGTTATCGTGAGGCCAGAAAAGGGCTGTGCAATTATGCGAGCGCATGTAGCCTGATTCCAATTATCATCGTGCGAGAAGACAATCATCGCTCCATTCTTGTTTGCGGAGCGTGCGCAACGACGCTTGAGCAGGACGCAGCACCTCAGAAACCTTTTTGATACCACAAGTCGATACATATCCATCGCATCGAATGGCCCAAACGCCGGACATATTGGCGCGTGGGCCAGACAAACGCCAGGACATATTGGACGCGTGGGCCAGACATACGCCAGACATATTGGTTGCGTATGAACAGATTCCTGAGTTGTTGAACGAGACCGAGTCAAAAAGGGCATGGCACAAAAGCAGCCATCGTGCTGGCTACAATATAGATGGTATGGACGGCTGCCGTTGAAGCTGATACTCGAAGATCGGATTTGTTAGTGAACTACGTTGTCGCAAAGCCCGCAGCAAACGGCAAATCTCCCTGAGAATGTGCAACAGCTCTCGTCCAGCTGTTATCTGTCGGCACATCGGCACACAGCAGCCAGAAACCTACCGCACAGCAGCCGCACATCACGCAGCAGCCAGAAACCTACCGCACAGCAGCCGCACATCACACAGCAGCCAGAAACCTACCGCACAGCAGCCGCACACCATACAGCAGTCAGAAACCCACCAGCACAGCAGCCGCGCATCACACAGCAGCCAGAAACCTACCGCACAGCAGCCGCACATCACACAGCAGCCAGAAACCTACCGCCAGTCAGGCAATGATCCCGCGAAAATCACCCAAATCCCTACGTTCTGTCGGGGGTTACCTGGTGTCGTAGGGCATGACAGCCAGACTGATTCGCGTTCCGCTGCCAGATGCCCCATCCGAAGAAGGCTGCCGGATGTTCCACCTCGTGTAATCCTCAGGTCGCCGTCACTTCGCCGCTGTCTTCAGGCCGGCCACTCCCTTCCCTCCACCGGCGGCGGAAGTTCCGTCATTCAAGCCTAGGGTGCGGTCTGTGCCCTCCTCGCCAAACCACAGCACGTTGCCACCCGTGCGGTCTGGAGCTCACTTCACCGGCGTTACGGCCACGAGCTTGAGCTCCGCCCTTCGGGGAGTTCCCGCGCGGTCATGGCCGCGGTCACGTGTCCTCGCCTTCCCTGTCGGCCCTCTGGTCGGCCTCCGCCTTGTTCACGGCATCGGATGACAACCGGAAACGCCTGACCCTGTCTTCGGACATGTCGCGGTGGAGGCCGGGCGGCCAGCGACCCATGCTGGTGGCGCGCTTCGACCGCTCGCCTCCGAAGATCACCGCCTCGCCCTGGCTGTGCACGGCGAAGGAGGAGAGCTCGGCGTACGGCACGCCCACCACGATCACAGGGTTGCCGTTGTACCAGAAGCGCCAGACGCCGCGGTGATCGCCCCGGATGTCCAAGTCCCAGAGGTTGAGGCAGGTGGAGAGCTTCTCCCACACGCCCACGTCTTCCGGGCCCTGCATCCGGATGAACAGGACGTACGTCTTGTTGGTTGGCGCGGGCGCGAACACGCCGTCGCATGAGGTCTGGTCGTGAGCTAGGCCGTTCACCATCACGGAGCCCGTGAGAGCGTTCATCAGCATCTCTTCGTACTTATGGAAGACCATGTTGTCGACGTCCTTCAGTTTGACGTCCGGTATGGTGTTGAAGGCGTGGTCGTAGAAGTACTTGAACTGCATCGACGCGCCCACGTGCTTGCCGATGTAGCCGAAGTGGTACGTTCTAGAAATATCCGGTATGATGCAGTCACGCCCCTTCCTGTGCTCGGACAGGCGGAGCATGACGTCCCAGTCAAAGTCCGTCCACGGCGGCGGCCATTTCGGGAGCAGCTCCTCGAAGAACAGGCTCCTCTTCAGCATCCAGCCAAGCCCCGGGAGAAAGCCGATTCGGTACAGCTGGGCCGGGTCTCCAACCGTGTGGTTATAGCCGTGGTCGTTCCAGGCGGACACGCAGTACAGGCTGGGGTCGATGTCCAGCAGGTGGTAGGTCTGATCAAAGTAGCTGATAAAATCGGGCGATACCTCCAGGTCCTCCTCGAGCAGCACGATTTTGTCCGCCTCGGGGAACATCTCGAAAGCCGTCTTTACCGTGTACTTGTAGATGAGGCCAATGCGAGAGCCGATGCCCCGCGAGTCCAAGCTGCCCGTCTCCAGGAAGTGCTCGTGCAGCTTGACGTTGAGGATGCGCAGTAACTCCTTCACCTCCGGGTAGTCACCGTCGACGAACACCACCACCTTGGCCGGGTCGAGGCCGCGGTTCGGCAGCAGCGAGGCGAGGCAGCGGAACAGGTACTGCGGCCGGTCGCTCGCCACGATCACGACCGGGTAAGGGAAGAGGCGGCCGTGAGGCAGTGGCCGCGGCGCCGGCCGCAGCCACGCCGGCCGGTCGCACGCGCACAGGCCGCGGTAACCGTCATGGCGCGCGCAGAACGCGGCGCGCCGGCCGCGCAGGCAGCTGGCGGCGGGAGACGCTCGCGGCGCGCGCGCCACCATGCGCAGCACGCCGCCCACCGTGCCCGGGTACACGGCGTCCAGGTTGAGGCTGTACCCCTCGGCGAGCACCGGACCGCCGCGCACCGCCGCCATGGCGAACATGGACCGCGCCTGCAGGTCAGGCACGAAGCTGGAGTTGAGCGCCCTGAACAGCGCGTCTGCCTGCGCGTCCAGCGCCATGGCCCCCTCGGAGAGCACGCAGAACACCACGATCCGGCCGGGCTGCACGTGCGTGACGAACTCCTCGAGCGCCATGTAGCCGGCGTTGGGAATGTGGCCGGGCGCGAAGGATTCGCCCGTTTTCTCGCCCGTCACCGGGTGCACGGAGACAGCGTACATGCCGTTAAGGCCGATACGCCACATGAAGATGTCCCCCTTGGGCGGCGCCTGGTCGGCCTTGTCGCGGAACAGCAGCGTGCGGCCGTCCACCCTGATGTGGCAGCTCTTGGGGCTGGAGAGCACCTCGATCTGGAGGTCCCTGTTGGCGCGGCCGGCGGCGAGCTCCTCCAGCAGGAGGGCGTCCTCGTTCAGCGCCGGGGCGTCGGCCTCCAGCGGGGCCTCCCGGGCG